TAGGGAGAATTTTTAAATAGGGACAATTTTAATTTAAATCTTAATTAATTATACAGCGAAAAAAAAATATTTGGTTTTTAATAGGTTTTTATGGGGGGACGATGTTTTATGTGTTTTAATATGCTGTAAGCCGCCCTGAGTCCTATAGGGAGAAGGGCGGCATATAAATCCATGTAAATAAATAAAATAAATAAATAAATACTGAAATGTCTGCAAGAAAATAATCTAGCTCAGAGAGCACCAAGGATCCCACAGTCTTCCTCTTCCTCCTCCTCCTCGCAAACCCGACTCCCTTCTAGCACTGATGATGTTACCTAGTTGGGTAATGAAATGCCTGCAAGAAAACAACGAAGCTCAGAGAGCACCAAGGACCCTATAGTCTTCTTCTTCTTCCTCCTCCTCCTCGCAAACCCGACTCCCTTCTAGCACTGATGATGTTACCTAGTTGGGTAATGAAATGCCTGCAAGAAAACAACCTAGCTCAGAGAGCACTAAGGACCCCACAGTCCTCCTCCTCCTCCTCCTCACAACCCCAGTCCCTTCTAGCACCTATGATATTACCTAGTTGGATAATGAAATGCCTGCAAGAAAACAACGAAGCTCAGAGAGCACCAAGGACCCTATAGTCTTCTTCTTCCTCCTCCTCCTCCTCCTCCTCGCAAACCCCACTCCCTTCTAGCACTGATGATGTTGCCTAGTTGGGTAAAGAAATGTCTGCAAGAAAATAATCTACCTCAGAGAGCACCAAGGACCCCGCAAGAAAATAATCTACCTCAGAGAGCACCAAGGACCCCACAGTTTTCCTCCTCCTCGCAAACCCCTCTCCCTTCTAGCACTGATGATGTTGCCTAGTTGGGTAAAGAAATGTATGCAAGAAAATAATCTACCTCAGAGAGCACCAAGGACCCCACAGTTTTCCTCCTCCTCGCAAACCCCTCTCCCTTCTAGCACTGATGATGTTACCTAGTTGGGTAATGAAACGTCTGCAAGAAAGCAACCAATCTCAGAGAGCACCAAGGACCCCACAGTTCAACTCTGAACTATAAATACTCTTCTCCATTTTTCCCCCTTGCTTGGGGCTAGCATATTGATTAGACAAAACTGACTGATTTATTCAAAGGAACCCTGATTTAAAAAAGCCATAGTTTATGTAGGGCCAGCAGACCTGGGCTTAAAAATCTGTTCATGGCATCAGAGCCACTTTTGCTAACTTGAGTTTTGCAACCCACATCGGGTAGTCTTACGTATTTGCTACAATCTCTTGAAAAGAGTGAATCAAAGTGAAAATAAAAGCAGTCGTGTAAATGTCTTTTTGTTTTAATTTTCACTTTGATTCATGAGGGGGAGCCAGAGGACAATCTGTTCACACAAGTCACAAGGACTCAACTTTTCCCTCCTCCAAATAGTTTGAAGAAGACTATTTCTTCATAATATGAAAACCAAGAGAGGTTTTTCTTGGCATCAGGCTTTGTAATTTTATTTTGGACTGATTCCTGACTTACCCCCAAGTCTGCTTGGGTCAGAAATAAGAAGATGGTTCGTATGCTTGGTTCTGGGACCTTATCATGGTTTCTTTCCATAAATTCCCAGGGCGTAGGGGGAAGGCAAGATTCTTTGAACCCTATTTTTTAGGATGGTCTAAGGTAGCTTTCTGAAACCTGATACCATCTGAATGTCTGTTGGACAAGTTGTTTGGAAACCAAGACTCAACCCATCTTGGTAGTGTAAGGTTTTACACTGAGCCTCACAATTGCTCTGGCATTACTCGGGAATTTAAAAGAGCCAAAGAAACTCCTGAGCGGAGGTTTCAGCAAGCAAATAACTTTTATTTTGATCAAAATAGAGTTGGGTGACCCCATCTCCCTTCGTGGCTGATAGAGATTTGAAGGCAACAACCAGAAAAGATGTCTTCCACCTTTTATACCTTTCCAGGTAGCTGTACTGCTCTGTATCGTGAAAGTCGGATTCCTTGCAAATGAGATTTTTAGCAATAAAGTCTCACAATAGCAGGAGAAATTCAGGGTGTGATGTACAGCAAAGCCTGATCAATAAAATGAGCCTCTCTAATATCAGCGTAGTTACAGGAATAATATGGAATTGGTGTTTTCTTTCACTTGATTCTAGGAAGTGGGAATATTGGGAATAATATGCTGGGCTGACCAAAAATAAAGGTGGAATTAAACAAAAAATCTAACAAACAAAAGCTAATTCAGACAACCACATTTTTTTTTTATAAATTTCCCCGCTACTCTTGATCACCACGTGCTAGTTATAGCTTTTCAGTGTGGAAGAATCTTACAAAGCCTGTGAAAAATCACTCCATACAAGGGGCCAAGTTAGCTTCCTCTCCTTATGAAAGAGATTACCCAAAGCCATGTTGAGTTAAACATAAAGGTTTGCAGAAACCACACTGAGCTTCTTGTTTTAGGGGGAAGCAACTTCCTGCTACGTCTATACTATGCCTATCCCTGAAATTGCAAATTATTAATGAAGTTTAACTACTGGGAAGCTGTTAAAACCTTACGCAAAATCAGGGCAAAACCCAAAGTGAAAAAAAGCACAGAGAGGAACAGGACTCATTCGATCAGCTCAGGTACTAATTTCTTTCGTTCCTATTGTTAACTTTCTGTATTTTCTTCCTTTTTTTTAATGATCAGATCTCTCTCTTCAGGTATTATTAATTTTTAGCTCCCATTATCTTTCCTATTATCTTTTTTCTTTTGATGTTCAGATCTCTCTCTTCCGTTTGTGCAATCATTTGGGTTGTGAGAGAATCAGAGTCCCCAAACTCTTAATTTTTCCCACTCTAAATATCTCTAAATAGGAAATACGGAGGGTTTAAATTAGACGGAAGGTCTGAGAGAGGATTCAGCACCCTGTCCTGTGGAGCAAACCTCTCAGGCCAGATTAAAGGGATGCTATGTGTGTGCTTTTGGATCAGTTTTGACTCCTGGTAACTCTTGGACTAAGCCCTTGGAGTTTTCTTGGCAAGATTTCGGAAGTGGTCTGCCACTGCCTTCTTCCTAAGGCTGTGAGAGAGAGGGACTGGTCACCAAACTAACTTCTGTGCCTAAAGTGGAACTTGAACTCATGGCACCTGGTTTCTAATCCAATGCCTTAATGGCTATACCAAACTGGGTCTCTTTAAAAGGATGCCATAGAATTGGGGGGAAAAAATAGAACAGAAAGAGCTTTCTAAGTCTCCCTCCCTGATAGGCACCACTTTCCAATCAATCAATCAATCTCCAGCCCACCTTGATGCTGCTAAGCATCTCATGCGGGACAGCCAAGTTGAATGAACTTGGTCACCACAATGTAAAAAAGATGTTGAGACTCTAGAAAGAGTACAGAGAAGAACAACAAAGATGATTAGGGGACTGGAGGCTAAAGCATATAAGGAAAGGCTGCTGGAATTAGGTATGTCTAGTTTAATGAAGAGAAGGACGAGGGGGGACATGATAGCAGTGTTCCAATATCTCAGGGGCTGCCACAAAGAAGAGGGAGTCAAGCTATTCTCCAAAGCGCCTGAAGGCAGGACAAGAAGCAACGGATGGAAACTAATCAAGGAGAGAAGCAACCTAGAACTAAGGAGAAACTTCCTGACAGTTAAAACAATTAACCAGTGGAACAACCTGCCTCCAGAAGCTGTGAATGCTCCAACACTGGAGGTTTTTAAGAAGAGACTGGACAGCCATTTGTCTGAAATGGTATAGGGTTTCCTGCCTGAGCAGGGGGTTGGACCAGATGACCTCCAAGGTCCCTTCCAACTTTATTATTATTATTAACTATATTTTGTAAAGTTTGGGAAAGATTTGAGAGGCAAATTGGAAACCTGGCTTGCCTTTATCTATTCAGTTCCTTATTTGAACATTTCTTTGGGTTTTTTATTCTGGAACCAATATTATGGTGGGAATGGATTTCTTAATAAAGAATGGTTCCCCATTAGGAATGTACAACATCTTCATGGCATCACCCTTCTATCACTGAAGTTACAGCGACCTCATTTTATTTTATATTATAACGGTATATCTCGTATTTTGGCACCATGATTGTTAGATACTAATGCCATAGGATCAGCTACTAGTGATAAATGATTAATGTGCCTAGCCCCCTCCATTTCATCCTGTTAACTATATTTAAAGATATGTTAGGCAAGAGATAATAATTCTTCCTCAGTGCACCTCAATAAACCTCCCTGGTTTGCTCTAGCCCTTATAATCTAATTACTAGACTACAAATATCTTATATAAATGCATAAGCAAGCTGTCACCTGTGCAAGGGTCTGAAAAGAAAACTCATTCTATTCTCTAGTGATGAAGATGGGGCTTTTTGTAGCAGATTGGCATACCTCCGACCAGATTAGCTGCCTTTGAAAATAGTGCTTTGAAAACGGTTGCCAAATGCTTCGCCCAATAAATTTCTGTGTGTCTAAAAACCGCACAAGAAGAAGGAGAACTGCTTGGTTCCGGGGGTGGAAATATTGTGAACGAGAGCTGTTTCCGCTGCTGAGCCTTGTAAAAGATGATGAAATTGCTGACCCCACTCTCTTTTGACTTTAAAGCAGGAGAAATCACCCGATGGTGTAAGGTTTTTAGGAAGTTTTGTTAGAGTTTCAAAACTCTACTAAAAAAAAAAAATGCCACTAAAGAATGACTTTTTCTAGGGTCCCACGCAAAACCATGCATGAGCATAGGCCACCAAACATGCCTTTCTTTTAAAAGACACACTTGAAGGG